CAGGTTAGAATTATGTAAACATGGCTCGAAAGTAAAAACATAAAGACACGACAAACTCAGGCCGGCTGTATGCGCCGCCATCCTTCAACGCCCCCACGCGTCGGTCGAGAGCGGACTACGGACTCAAGTCCCGAAGCGCGCACTGCCTAGTCCTTCACCTCCACCGGGTCATCGAGGGTGAACACCGAGTCGCCGGGTCCACCGGCCAGCCCAACGGAGCCGGTTTCTTCCCCATGCGAGCGTATCATCGTCCAACTAGATAAGGGATCGGGAGGCCCAGCCCCAATCGAGGGTCTACTGTCATAACCGCTGGCGCTCGGCCCGACGGAAGCCGACGGTACCTCCTCCGCCACCGGCGCTCCCTCGGGAGCGGACCCTCCGATGGCAGAGGAGGCTGGCAGCTCGGTCTCCGAAGTCCGAGCCATCACCGCGTCTGTAGGGGACGCCTCGGTCGTGCCTCCTCCCGTCGCCCCACTCGGCGCGCGTCGACCGAAAGGGCGCCCCGATTCCATGAGCGACTCCCGGCACAATCGGCGCGCCGCCTCCCCGCTTCCTCGGCGGCGTCGTGCCTACCTCGGTGCCATCACACGCGCCCGGCACCACGCCATGAGGGCTCTCGGGGATTGGCCAACACGCTTAGGATCTTCGCATGCGCCAACGCCATGCGGTTGTTGGGGATGGTCCTGCGGAAATCACCAACGCCACACGACGAAATCTGAGAACGCAACGAAGAGCGAAAGAATTCATTAACTCACCTCGACGCCATTATCCGAGAATGTTTCGGGGGTTGGTCGCTCGACTCCGCCATGTTGGTAATCGGCCGCTTTGATCCTCCGGTGGGGTCGGTCGGAGCGGGGTGGACTTGCTCCTCCGATCTCGGGGGCGCGTCCTCCCCCACCGATCTTGGAGGCACAACCTCTTCGGGCTTTGGCGCCGTGGCGTCTTTGCGGAATCGGGGTCAAGTTGACTCGCCTCGCATCGCTTTGTTCATCCTCGAAGCGCAAGCGCGCCCTATGGGATGTTGGGGTCAGACTCGTCCTCCTCCTCTTCCTCCTCGTTGTCATCGCTTTCCTCTGAGCCTTGCCAACGCTTTCCACGCTGGAGCTTCGCTCGCTCCTTCTTCGCCTTCTTTCGCTCGTTCTTCGCCTTCGCCGCCCTCCTGGCCGTGTCCTCTGGCAGTGGCGGGTTGGACTCACAGACGATGAGGCTAGGCTGCAAATCCCGGCGCTTAGAATCTGAGAACAAAGGAGGGTCGGCCAAGGAAATAGACTCGAAAAGGCTTACCATTTCGACAAAACCCACGTCCGGCCGCATTGCGGGATGCCCCGGGACCGGGTACACCGGGGTGAGATCCACCGACGGATCCGCCGGGCACTCCATCGCCTCCTTGAGGCGTTGTGCCATTTCACCGATGTTGAGGGCCTCAACGGTGACCATCACCGTCCCTTCGGGCGCGGAATCCGGTGTCATCTTCCACATCGGAAGAGTGCGCGCCATCAGCGGCGCCAGCGTCCTAACGTGGTACGCACCGACGACGTCGGTCCTGCGAAGACCGTGGCCCTTCAGAGTCACGATGGATTTGAGTAGGTCACCGAGCCTCTTCTACTCCCTCTTGATGGGCCCGTACCTCCACACGTCCTGCGCTTCCTCGATCAGGAGGCCGATGAAGATCGGCAGGGGGGCGACGGCGTCGTTCCTCAGGTAGAACCAGAGCTTATGCCACCCCTTGTTGGACTTCGACAACGGGATGGACATGTACTCCGACGACCGGCTGCCTCGAAGACGAATGCACCGCCAGGTCCGGCTTCTTCCTCTCCTTCTTCTGTAGCTCGACGGCGAAGAAGTACTTCCATAGCTCGAAGTGGGACTCGATCCCCAGATACCCCTCGCACAGTGCGATGAAGGCCGAGTTGTGCTGAATCCCATTGGGATTCAGATGCTGCAGCTCAATCCCGTAGTAGTGCAGCAGCCCTCGAAGGAATCGGTGGGGGGAGTCGCGAGCCCATGCTCGTGGAAGGGGACGAAGGAAACAACATAGCCGTTGGGCGGCGATGGCTCATCCTCGCCACTACGTACGATCCACTCCATCGCTGTGGTCCTTGCACGAAGAAGGCCTTTCTTAACTAGACCCTCCATGCGCGCGTGGAGAACGTCGAAGCGAGGCCAAGGCTCCATCGAGGAACGGCGATGGCGATGCAGAAGATCCGGCAGTGGCGTAGGGCTGGAGAGCGAGAGCTTCGCCGACGACGGAGCGAAAACAGGGGAACAAAGGCCGGAACTCGAGAGCGAAAGGCAGAAAGATTGGAGGGACAAGGATGCGGCTGCGCGTACAGAGGTTGGGGAGAAACTGCTTCATTTATATGGTAAGGGCGGAATGGGCGAGGGGCGAACCATCCACCTAAATTAAAGCACCCCACGCCTCGCCAGATCCGTTTCTTTCGGGGCTCATGCCTTCACTATTCCTCGCAGCATTAGTCGCATCGCCGCCTCGAGAGACGAGCGCATGCCTATCCAAATCTTCCCCACGAAGGATCCATCGAGCGGCGGTTCATCTTCAAAGGCTACGGGCCGTCGCAGGTAAGTGGGATACGGAGCTGGAAACGCTCCTACGGTCCATTAACGCCCAGGAGTTCGAAGGCTGGCCCACCAGTGGGTTCACGGCCGCTCCAGGGCACCCTAGAGTGAGGGGGGGTTAAGGACGGGCCCGCTAGCGGCCAGTACCCGAAGCGCGCGAAGCGCCGTGGGCATCGAGCCCTCGGACCGGTCAAACGAATTCGGGAACTATATGGACCGGCCACCAAGAATCTAGAGTCAGTCACCAGCTAATCTCGAACCGGGCCCCCGCAAAGGGGATGCCGGGGCTCCACTCGAACAAGCCCGTTAACAACTCACCGAGCACCGTGCTCCGTCCAGCGAGGAAAGCACGGCACGGCTCAGCCCCTCTGTCCTAGCGAATGGACGCGTGAGGCATGACGATCACAAGACGAACCGACCCCCCGACCGGACCCCTGCAACGCGCGGGGGCTTGGGGGCTCGACATCGCAAAGTGACCGAACACACGGTCGCATACAAACAACGAGTGTCATACATAGCTCGCCATCCTGCAAAGCGATAATAATGAACAGTACTCCCGTGCGCCCTCAAGCAACGGGTCGCAAAAAGCCTTTGCAGGAGTGTCTCACTCTTCCAAAGGCTCAGGGGCTACTATCGGATATCCATATCCGGGTATCCGAGCCAAAGGATTAATGAGCATCACGTCGCCTCATCTGATGGTTAAGGACTTAACTCCGAGGACGAGGTTTCCGCCTCGTCCGACCCCCAGGGGGTCGGGCCACGCCTCGTCCAACTACGAGGACGAGGTTTCCGCCTCGTCCGACCCCTAGGGGTCGGGCCGGGCCTCGTCCAACTCTGAGGACGAGGTTTCCGCCTCGTCCGACCCCCAGGGGCCAGGCCACGCCTCGTCTAACTCCGAGGACGAGGTTTTCGCCTCGTCTGACCCCAAGGCGTGGGCTCCAACTCTAAGGACAAGGTTTCCGCCTCATCCGACCCCAAGGCGTGGGCTCCGACTCATCCGGTTCCACGGGGAGGGCTCCGCCTTGTCCGACCCCTGAGGCTCGGATTCCGTCTCGCCCGGCCCCCAGGGCGAGATTTCCGCCTCGCCCGTTCCCCGAGGGACGGATTTGCTACCGAACAAAAGCAGTGGCCCCAAGGTAGGACCCGAACCGCTTCAACCACTACGACGTGGGGGCGCACGCCCGGGAGCATGTCTCAGACGTGTCCTGATGCGACTGGCGATCGCATCAGGCCATGCTAGGAGACTCACGTCGCCCACCGCGTCAATAGGCCAGCATTGTGCTGCCAACTCCCTGCCTGACCACCGTCCAACGTCAGTCGACCGGCGTCAGTTGATTGGCACTGTACCACCAGCCCCACGTATGGCCTTTGTCAGGGACCCTTTGACCATTCCGTCCGCTCGGATGGGATGGAAGACAAGAACGACGCACGACGCCCACACGTATGCTGCAGCGGCCAACAGGACCCCGGTGCGACGACGGTGCCACCACGATTTGCAGGGTCAGCGAGACCCAGAAAAGAGAACGGCACACCTCGAGGAGCCTTATTTCTTTCTTTTTCCCTCTTCCCTTCTGCTGTAACCCCTGCTTTCCCTTGGGCTATAAAAGGGAAAGCAAGACGTCCACTAAGGGGCATCGGTTCGCCGCACCACATCATATCAAGAGCACCAGCGTCAAACCTCAAGCACGTAGCTGAGCAGCGACCAAGCTTTCGGACCCATTCATTCTTTCCACCAGAGACTTGGGACCTGCCCCTCTCTCGCTAGTTTGTAACCCCCTACTATAAACTCAGTGCTGGTAACACGAGCAGTCCAAAACTAGACGTAGGGACATTCGGCCCGAACCAGTATAATTCTTGTGTCTTCTTAGTACATCATCCGGGCCAGACGCGTAGCATATAAATTTACTCATTGGTGTTTACTCGAAACACCGGCAACAATCTTCTTTTTGATTCCTATACAAGCATTTTCTAGTTGTAGATGAGTTGCACAAGCAGATTGTAGGCAGCAACAGTACTGATTTGTGCCCCAAACTTAGAATCCAAACAGAAAAAACCCACACATACCAGGGTCCAGGGGGTACAAAAATACAAGTTATATGTAACCAAGAGCATGAAAATGATTGCCAACCCACAATCGAGAGGTTAAAATGGACGCACAAACAATAGTTTAATTTATTACCAAGTCAAAATTTCTTGAAAGAATACCGACATGACTCCCTGGTGTACTACAAGCCACGAGTTCCATCCAATTCTTGCGACGCACACACACACAACAGCTACAGGCACCATACCATCCGTTCAACAACATATCTCGCCCACTTTTTAGGACAACCTATAAGGCTATAACCTTCACACCTGACGCTACTATGCTCACCGGACCAAAACCTTTGTTTCCCGTCAGAGGGGACACATCGGAGGGGAGCCCTCTAGCTCACTAGCTGCTGGTTGCCATACATCGGGTACGCGCCATACGCTGCAGCGTACATGTTTGGGTGTGGCACCGGGGAGGCATAGCCATACCCGCCATAGAATGGTGTGCCAAAGTACATGTTCCTCCTGTTGCCGGAGTCACCCCTCGACTGGAAACAGAAAAGGAAATGGGTGTAAGGGGAGGAAGGAAGCAAATGGTTTCACAAAAGCATTATACCTTTCACCGTTGTGAGGAATTATAAATATGTCAAAAAATATATGCAATGCTAAACAGAAAAAATATCAACTCATGCTTTGGTATATATAGATGGATGGTATTAAAGACACATACACCTGTGCTGACAGAAAACAATTATTCTGTGCAAGAGATCAGAATGCCCAGGGTTACCTTATTGCTGCTTAAAATGTGCTGCAAGATGCAACCATATTTAACCTTTCCGTTAGGATTGTAGGAACATAATTGTGTACTCACATACAACCGTGGTAAGCTAGTTGCAATCAAGGTTACAATTTTTCAGACAACTGGTTTTAGTCTTAAAGGTAAAAAGAGAATTATGCAGCAGATTGATCAAGTTAGTTTGTTCGAGAGATAATAAGTGGAGAGTGGAACAACATCCAGCAAACTCCTGAGAGTTAGCTTATTCCTCCACCAACCCAATAAATGAAACTGATGGTGGTGAGAGCAAACGCAAAGGCTAATGAACATTATGATGAACACAATCTTACATGTGAGAAGGTTAGTTTTGAGGCACATCCAAAGTTAGGGTACTCATCAATTTACCGAATTGTAGTTAAGTTAGCAAACCTAACTATTGCAACGCTACAATTTAACAAAAACTGATTGGGTCAGCGGAAACTGATACTATAACAAGCAACTACAGAGGACGGGTGGATAACCCGGTAGCTAACAGAGATAGAGTTGGAGCTAGTCAGCTAGTGCCTTGGGTCCGAATCTCATTGGCCACGCAATCATTAGAGTTGTAGGCAGGCCGGATGGGGAGTTCAAACCTTGGTTCCCATATTTCAAGGTAGGGCTGGGGGTGAGAGTAATCTAGCTTCTGGCCCCTATAACAAGTGATTACACAAGAAAAAATAGTCCTCACCGGGGGGACAGAGGAAGGCAATGTCAAGCATAACAAACCTGCTTATGCGATGGGCTGCGCCCCATGAAAGGCGAACTGCCTGCTTTCCAATGAGTGATCCATTTAATCCTTGTAGTGCTTCTTCAGCATCAGTTCTAGAAGAATAGCCGCACGGGTTAAACATCACTTCAGCAAAGTTATGGACAAAATAAATAGGAAATCATGTAAATGCTTCAGGTACATACCTGCTAACAAATTGAACAAAGCCACATTGCTTTCCTAGAGGAATTTTCACAGAGGCAAGATCACCATATTTGGCAAAGGCTTTTCTAAGTTCATCTTCACTGACATTGGGGTCAAGCCCACCAACATATACCTAAAGAAGGGTGACAACTACAGATTAAAAACTATCAACTTAAAGGTGACAAACACCACAGGAAAAGAGTACCACGAACCGCTTCTATTAGAAGAATCGCCATCTGAATGACCAGGAGTCAAGGAGCCAGAATCTCCTGAGTACAGTAGTCATCAAGTTCAGAAAAACTAGAGATTACATGAAAGAACATGAGTGCAATGTCATGGTACATAACACATAACATGCTCTTGAAACATTAACTAGGTTTAGATTGACTATCCAGGGAATAACATATAGTTATTCAAGGAGTAACTGACTAACTGTAGAGGGTTTGTGCCAGTTTAGTACATGCAGTGCTAGCTCCACACTGAAAATTTTTCATGCACTAGGTTGTTTTCCTGATACTATTCGTCAATTTCAACAGGCTACATATTTGGCACTCAAAAGAACAAAGTACGCATAGATAAATCGCAGAGCGGTAAATTGGAGGAAAACATGGCTCTATGGTTAAGAGGTGAACAAAATCCAGGATATCTAGCCTTGCAGGCTTGTGACACAAAACCACAGGATTCATGGTCCGAATGTATCAAGATGCATCAACTATATGAAATCCACCTGAGGTAAGAAGAGGATCACACAAGTAACAACTGTATCAGCAGGCCAAGGAAGAGAATGAGCACTTAGTAGACTGGTGCTAGAGATGAGGCCACAGCCATCCAATCAGATAGTGGGATTTCCCTAAGAATAGGATTTTTTTTTCCAGAACACTGTAGCCATAGAAACCAGGCTCACATACCACAAGCCAATATACCGGAAGTTTTTTATAGTTACAACCATAAAACATGTGTTTCAGTAATTCACTTTTTAATATCATCAGAACTTTGGGAAGTACAAACTAGTTAGGACTCAGGAGGATGAAACAGATGATTTGGCAACTTTAGTCTCCTAGGAAGTGAAAAGGAAAAAAGAAGCAAAGTGAATTTCGAGTGTGTTAGCGGTGGTTTTTTTGCCAAAATGCAGTCATGAATTCAGTCATCAATAAAATAAAACCCAGATCATCAGTGTACCCAGAATGAAAGATGGTTAGACACCTCCTCTGGTCAGGTACATGCTGCTGAGTCATTCGGGCAATCTGTTTGGCCCATACTCTTGCAGACACTAACAAAAATACATGACGGCTAGCATTCAGCTTGCATATGCAGCCTTGCATAAAGGGACTAAGCATTCTAGCCAACTGGATGGATGAGGGTAAAGAGTTGTCTATACTTAAAAGAGAACCACTTAATAATGGTTAGAACCTCTTAATCAGAGAAGGTTGGTACGCAATATGTATAGAATTATTCAAATGATTCCTATAAAATACAGTTCAACAAATGACATGGTGACACGAGAACTTGACTGGATTGGTGATCAGGAAGGTCAGAATCATTGCATTCCATAAAAAATCAAATTGAGTAATACTCCCGCAAGTCGAGTTTTTAAGGCGTGACAGGTACAAAAACGAATACCAATATGGGGTCATCAATCATTGCGCTCGTGGATACTAGTAACTCCCTAACTGGTGTCGGTTTCAAGTGCCACATTGTACTCCACAGCGGTTAGCGTCCAGCAATTTCGCATGGATGCATGCACGGCTAAAGGATTCAGTTTCCTTTTAATTGCAACTCCATAGTGATCGCCATGCAAACAGTCCTTTTATCACGACCCCATCTCAAACGGCATGCAACCGCCTGTTCGGTTTCCGTCCTGCGAACTAACCATGCCTCGGTATCCAAGTTACGCTTAATATTATGGACTTTAGCAACCCAAAAAAAAATAGACACATTAGAAACTGGACAGCAGTCACAAAGATCCCAGATCGAGGGGGTCAAAAAACAGGGTCGAGGAATGTGGTACGGTACTTGTGAGAGGTTTTTACATGCCGGGGTCAAAAATGACCCCGCGTACCAAGGTCAGGGTCAACGTTCCCAGGTCGAGGGTCGATGCCTTCAACCCTAGGATCTAGGGAGTAGCTAAGCATTCATAGCATAAAATATTTGACAATCTATGGTTGAATGAAAAGATGCTACAGCATTTGAGATTGTGGAACAACAATAGAAGATGGGGATACCTGAAGATCTTCTGGGAGTCATGGGTCCTATACTGAATTGGCCTAGTAGAGCAATATACACCATTCATTTCAGACATTGCATGAGATTTGTCGTTGTCATCTCCAAACCTAACAAATCCATAGCCCCTAGAACGGCCTGTGTTTGCATCAATAATAACTTTAGCTCCTTTCACCGAAAGGGTACTTGCTAGAGAAAAGCTCCAGCAGCATTTCATCAGTAACATCAGCAGCTAGATCACCAACAAATATCGAGTGATCAGAAGCTACTTCAGATCGCTTTTCACCCATGCTATATGATGCCCAGTTCAACTTAAATGCCCGGTCAGTGTTTGGCATCACATGACCAATAAAATTCTGAAGAGCCTTTTCTGCTGATGCATGAGAAAAGAACTCAACAAATCCATACCCCTCTGACTGTCCTGTTTGCCTATTGCGGATAACTTTTATTGTAACCACCTACAAAAATGTAAGGTAGCAAAAGACAATAAGATTACTAGTTAAAAAGTTCTGGAAGCACAAACACACAAAAAACAGAAAGAAGAAATAGTAAGTCGTGCCTGATTGGCAGTTAACCTCATCTGTATCTGATAAACATACTTTCAACTATGTTTGAAGAAAGGTTCCTGGTAGCTACTACTACTAAGCTAGTACAAAAAAAAAAGAATAGATACAAGTCACTTTGTCCATTTATCTCTGCTCCTGAAGAGGCATTGTATCAGTACCCCATCACAGGGACCTATAATCAGGCATCTTTTCTCTTCCTGTCAACATCAGTGAGCATACCCCGAAAAGGATAATTGGCCCAAGGCTGAAATTATTGCTTCCTTTTGCTCCTCTAAAAGTTATTCTACTGATACAGGATCCACCGAAGTGAAGAAGCTAACTTGGCCCATTCAAAATGTTTATTACTTATCAAGAATCAAGACCGTTTCCTCCAAGTAAGTTATATGCATAAATCCTACAGGAGGTCGGCACGTTTGTCACCTCGCATACACCAATTCCAAGGGAATAAGATGACCCCTTCTTCTATGGAAAAAAAAGGCATACCAAAAAGAAACATTTTAAAGCTACTACACGGCTCTAAACCAAACAGGAGATACTAAATGAGCAAACATGGCTGAAAGTACATTGCCTTATAAGTACTACTGAAAGTATTATTGGCTGGTTTGGTAAACCATGGCTGAAAATACCATTGGCTTGTTTTGGGAATACTGTTCGCTGGCTGATAAATACGAAGCGAACAGGCTGAAGAGCATTCCGTCCGTACGGCATTGAATGACCTCGAACTTGGTGCCTTAAGCAACTTTGCAACGTCAATATGGCACCTTTATTTGCACCAAGCAAAAATCAAGCGCAGTTTAAGCTTCTATATCAATCTGAGGCAAACACACACAAATCAACGCACGGAAATGGTACAAATCTAGCTGTATTCATGAGATCCAGTACGGAGGAGTCCGGATCGGGAGAGAAAGCAAACCTCGCCGCTGGGCCCGAAGCAGCTGTGGAGGTAGTTCTCGTCCATCCAGTACTGGAGGTCGCCAACCCAAATGGTCTTATTCTCCTCGCACCCGTTCCCGCCGGATCCGGCCGCGGGCGGGTCGGCGTGCGGCGCCCGGCCGCAGCTTGGGGCGGCCCAGCAGCGAAGTGCTTGGCAAACTGCGGCGGCGGCGGCGGTGGCGCGGCCACCATGGGCGGCGGCGGCGGGTACGGGATGACGACCCACCGTGGCTGCGGCATGTGGTGGTGCGGGTGAGCGTGCTGCGGGGGGCACGTGGGGGTGGGCGTGAGGGTGGTGAGGCGGCACGGCCGCCTGGGAGTCGGTGGTGGTCGCCGCCATCTGCATCGCCGCCGCCGCCGAGGAGGAGGGTCGTGGGGTTGGAGGGCTCGCGAGGGGTGGAGGGCGGAAAAGAGAGAGGGAGCTCGTGGTTGGGGTGAGCTGAATATATACGGGGTTAGAAACGGACCTGCGCCATCAGATCTTGGAGTTCGTTACGCCAGGGTGGGTGGCTGACGCGTGGGCCGTCTGAATATCAGTTTGCTTTTTTCTGCGTGTGCTTTTGGTCTGGCTATTTATTACCACCACTGGTCCTAAATACAGTACTAAAATGAATTAGGCCTTGTTTAGATCACCTTCAAATTTCAAATTTTTTATTCTTTCCATCACATCAATTTTTAGACGTATGTATGGGGCATTAAATGTAGGTAAAAAAAAAATAACTAATTGCATAGCTTGGTTGTAAATCACGAGATTTAATCTTTTGAGCCTAGTTAGTCCACGATCGGACAAAGTTTGTTAAATACAAACAAAATATGCTATACAAATCATCCAGATTGCAAAAATTTGCAATCTAAACAAGGCCTTATTAGAGTTGTTTGTCAATGTTTTATAAATTTAACTAAATTTATAAAAAAATATTAATGTTATGCATCCAGCTGGGGATGGCTATGACTGGCCATAGCGTGCGCGTGCATGCTCGTGAAGAGAAAGAAGACGAAGGATGGGTAAATTAGAGAAAACACAGGTTAGAAAGGAGTAAGAGAGGAAGAAGAAGGATGGGTTCGGTTGGTTTCGAAATGGATCAAGGTTTCCAATGCAAAAAAAAAAAACTTAGGATAGAAAACACATGGAGATGGAGAAAATATAAGGTTGTTATTTATTTTTGTTAACTTGCTAAACTCAGTGGTTTAGCAAATAAATTATAGGAAACACTTGGAGATGCTCTAAGCGTGCTTTAAAGAAAAAAAAAATTATTCCCTTACTTTTACAAAACTCTTGTTCTGGGGCCTTGTTTAGATTGCCTCAAAATTCTAAGTTTTTTCACTCTCTCTCCATCACATCAATTTTTGGACGCATGCATGGAGCATTAAATGTAGGTAAAAAAATAACTAATTACACAGTTTGGTTGTAAATCACGAGACGAATCTTTTGAGCCTAGTTAGTCCATGATCGGACAAAGTTTGTCAAATACAAACGAAACGTGCTACAGTGTCCAGATTGCAAAAATTTGCAATCTAAACAAGGCCTGGGTTGAGGTGTCTCACCAATTTTATGTCTCATTCTGGGAATATTTTTCCTATAAAACTAGAATATTTTTCCTTAAGCGGATCATAAATAAAATTGAATTGTATGAACATCTTTTAGCATGGCATTTACAAAATTATATCTTTTCTTAACCAAAAGTTTATTTTTCTCGTTAATAAGACCATTTTTTCTGACAAAAGAAGAATTATATTAGATAATAGCTGGGTACATGAACACGTTACAAGCACTCTGGATTACACAAATATCCATAAACTGATTTTCATCTAAATTATACCCACGCCATGAATAACTCTAGATCTCAAAACCGAACCTGTAGGACACTTTGCGGTATGGATGACCGCACAGGCAAACACTCGGTAAAAGGCCTGAGAATAGATGTCCAACGAACAACGGCCAACATTCATGTAGACGGAGTTGAGTAACTTCTTCTTTCTGGTGTCTTCCTTCTTCTTCTTTCTATCAGTGAAGAAGTGAAGAATGAGGAAGACTGATTTGAAACTTATTCTTCCTAGTCCTTCATTGTGGTCAGATCTAACCACGATAAAACGAAGAAGAGACCGGAGAAAATTTATTCCATGGCGGCGACACCATCTCTCGCCTTTGATGTCGCCGTCCAAAAAATAAAAGTCTCCATGTCGTCAAACCGTGAGGATGCCGACGCCAGAAGTTGTTGCCCGCATCTTCAATGTAACTGTCACGGAGAAAACGATTCCATCCCCGCCTCAGTGCTGCTGCCGGAGAGGAGGAGGAGGAAATAAATCCCAAAAACCAAGAAACTTGGCATGAAGAGACCCTAACCCTAAAGACTTGAACTTTATTAAAACGATGGATCCCCACTCCCCGTGTAGTCTCCGGATGATATGCCTGGGGGAGAGAGGGGGGCCAAATGATGGATACACATGTATTATCAATTACCTTACGTGACTAGGTTTGCTTTCAAGTTGAGTACTAAACTTCCAACCTATCAAATTTGTAGGACACTTGTGGCTTTCAATTAACCAAGATTAGTGTAGTATTTACTTGTACTATATGACTGATATTATGTCTAGAGAAAGCGAGGGATGTTTTGATCTTGTTCTCATTTTTACCTCATTCTATTTTTTCTTAAGAGATCGAAACCAAAACTTATAATCTATCGTAATTTGTGATGAATCACTATATACGTAAACTCTTAATTAGGTGGGGACATTGTATCAATTTTGCTATCAAAACTGCATAATAACTATTCTAATCATTTTGTGCTTCGTTATTTTGTACCTTTTGTATCTCTTCTATTATCTAGTTATCAGTATTGGTTTTGTTTTTCTTTTTCGTGTGCTTTTTTGTTAACACTCTTTTCAATAAGTGTAACACGCAAAAGCACGAGAAACACCGCTTTTGTAGGGGCTGAATTGCTTAGATTGTTAATTAGAAGTGGATAAAGGTTTGATTTGGAAGTACATGACCTAAATTAGTTCTATGCTACTTCTTATTTATATCTTGTCGTTCTTTTAACCAATAAAATAGGGGTACATTTACTTCAATAAAGATTGGTCTCTGCATTTGTAAAATGCATATATACCCAAGAGAATAATATATCTCTATATGACTTTATTTAAGCAATACGCACGTACTCCTATGCTACAATATTTAGCATTGTAGTAGTAGCATTTGACCAACCAATTTGATGATTTTCTCGTTATCTTCAAATCGTTAATAACCTCTAAAAAACAAATGGTTAATAGTAGTATGATAATATATGTAAGTAATCCAATATTGTGTAATTCCACATCGACTTTCGTGTGCTTTTTGTCTTAAAAATATGAGATTCTTACTCTTCGAAGAGTCAATCGTTTTAAAGTTTGACCAAAGTTATGTAAAAAAAAAATACTAGCACTTATGATACAAAATAAGCATCAATAGGTTAATTATGGAATGCATTTTACTTTAACAATAAACCTAGCTAGAGACATAAATGTCGATACTATTCAATATAAATATGGTCAAACTTAAGTTAGTTTGACTAACACAAATCTTATAATTGCATTCTTTTTAGGACGAAGGAAGTATATGTTTTTGTTCTTTCCAAGTAAGCTTAAGAAACTACCAAGTAAACGTGGAAAAAAATAATGGTCCTAGTTAAACTGTAATGTGATCACCTTGTGTTATTAATTAACTCGTCTTAAAGTTAGAGCAAAAAAAAATCCCCTTTCACCTACTAGATGACGTGGTCTTCCACCATACGAGATCAACACGTCTACAGAGACGCACACACAAAAAAGGGGGGCGTGTTTGATTGTGACAGCCAGATCGCGCTTTCCGATTCGGCAGCCCCCGGGCAACGGCCATGCAATGCAAAGCACCCGGTCGGGTCGGGTGGATGGATGGAACAAGCAAACGTGCGCTTTGCTTCTGCCGTCCGTGTTGCTTGACTTTTATGCGAAGGCTTCTCTCGCTCCAGTAGGCAGCAGGCCTGTTGGTGTTGGAAACTTCACGTCTTCCCCGTGGTCCACGACCACTTTTCGCGTTCCTCCGAGCGTTTTGGACCAAACCAAACCCACGGGCGACAAGCGACAGGCCACAGCCAAACGTCCGTCCTCTTTGATCGGTGCGGACCGCGGAGCCTTCAGCCTTTGCCTACCCGGCCCTTGCTTGCCCCGTTCGTTCGGCCGTTCCGCTCTCCACCAACCGCGATCACGTCGTCAGCGCAACGACCTCTGACCTCGGGATCCTCCAGTCCGCTGGCTGGACCTCGATTCCGCAGCCGATCACGGGCTCGTGAATCATTGCCGCGCCGCTGCCCCCCACTGGGAGCGGAGACGTTTCACGACGGGACGAACTGGGAGCGGTTTGACCCGGCCGCTGCCCGCGCGGCAGGAGGCGGAGGAGACGGCGTCCACGTACTAGTACCACGTCTGCAACTCCGTACAGTGATTCTCTGCCCGACGTGTCCCGATCTTATCCGTCATGATATAGTATTTTTTTCTTATAACCAAACAACATCAACCGACTTATAAGCCATAAAAACAATCAAGTGAACAGGGTGTTGATTCCGCGCGGGAGTCAAATCTAGCTAGGCATCCCTGTGGTCGAACGTGCGAGTGGCGAGTGTGAGCCTAGCCTACCGCCTACGCGGATCCTCAGATTCTTGCCCTGTTCGTTTGGCTGATAAGGCATGGTTGAAATTACCGTTCACCGATTTGTTGTGATTGAAAAATACTGTTCGTTGGCTAAAAAAGTACGACTTATAAACTAAGGGCCTGTTTGGTTACTACACCTCCTCCTAAAATTTCTGTCACATCGAATGTTTGGACACATGCATGGAGTATTAAATATAGACTAATTACGAAACTAATTGCATAACTTGCGACTAATTTGCGAGACGAATCTTTTAAGCCTAATTAGTCCATAATTTGACAACGTGTTGCTACAGTAAACATGCGCTAATGACAGGTTAATTAGACTTAAAAAAATCATCTCAAAAATTAACCTCCATCTATGTAATTGGTTTTATAATTAATCTATATTTAATATTTCTTATTAACATCTAAACATTCGATGTGACATAAATTTTAGCGCGGAGGCACGACGCGGCGCGGGTCTTGTTCGCTTGCTCTCTGCGAACGATGCTGCCGCTGTCAAGAGCTGGCGCCCAAAGGCCACGCTTGCGACTTGCGAGATGAGATGGTGTGTGCGCCCAAGGCCGGCGACGCAGTTTTGTCTCGATGCCCTCACCACCCACCCTGTTGCCAGTCCGTGCCCAGCTGCCCCCGCACCTGGCCACCTCAGCAGCACGCCAGCACCCCACACGGGATTCCTGTAGCAACAGCTATCTGCCGCCCTTCATTTTTCAGGGAAATATATAATGTTTTTGTTCTTCCCTCCTTTCCCACTTTTTTTTTGAAGAAAATTACTGTAGTTTTCTTCTTCTATAGTTCGGGCCCATGCGGCTCTCCTGGGCTCAAGGCCCAGTTAATGTTGCACAGGCCATCATCCGGTTGGCCCTGACTTACTGGCCGGGGGGCCTGCCCGCCCGGGGAGACGAGGAAGATGGGTCGGAAGAGCTGCTGTGGTACTGGGCCGTGGGCCAAATGAACTTGTGGTACTAGAATTCGGTGGACTGGCCGAGCCGTCCTATTTTTTTTTATTGAGCCGTCCAAATTTGACCCATCCTGATTCGCAAAAAAAAAAAAAAAAGAAGACCCATCCTGGTTGAGACAAGGGCTGCGCTGCGCACCTTCACGACATTCAATGGTTCTTGCATGCAAGTTCGTGGCCTCACGTCCTCGCCCATGCGGTGGCGTTAATCCGAGCGGACAGCGGCGCACAGTGCAGACTGGAGATCGAGTCAGCAGGCCACCTGTTCGAAGCTTGTCACAGAGGAGTAACACAGCGCATGCACTGAAAGCAAGCGGCAAACCATGGAATTCAGGGCAGGGCGTGGTATTCACCTTCACCACATGACACGTACGATCGGCTGCTCCGTGCACGCGGCGCTCCGGCAGACCAACAGATCAACGCGGCGTCGGCGTGCATGCAATGCAATGCATGCATCTTCATTCTCCGGCTCGAAGCTGGTTCATCACCTCGCACTGACAAACGCCGCGATCCTGCCGAGGAGCTCCTTGGCCTCCTCCATCTCGGGATCCAGCAGGAAGAAGACGTGACCGACCCCCTCCGACTCCAGCATCTCCACCGCCGCCGGCTGGCCGCCGCCCTTCACGAACGCCGCCACCGCCGTATCGGCCAGCAACTCCGCTCGTGCCACAGCCGCCACCGAAGCCGGCGTCGGCGCGCCACCCTTCTTCGCCCGCGCCACGGCGTCCGCGTACGCCTTACCGCGCCACCGCAGGTGGTCGCCCTTGGCCACGCACACCATGGCTTTCTCGCACGCCAGGCTCTCCAGCCCCGGGGCGCCCGGTGCCGTCGGGTTCATCCGGGGGCCGTTAACGCCGTCGACCGCGCCGGGGCACACGAACTCCCACAGGTGCTTCTTCCTCCCGCGGCCCTCCGCCTCCGCGCGATTCGCCCGGGGCCTCCTGTGCTCCTGCTCCCCGCCGATGGGCTCCTTTCCCCAGAACCACGGGTGGATGAGCACGATGCCCTTCAGGCCGGCGCCCGCGCCCTGCTTGACGTCCGGGTGCATGGCCAGGTGGTGGCAGATGTTGCCGCCGGCGCTGTCGCCGACCAGGAACACGCGGGCGAGGTCGCCGTGCGTCGCCAGCCACGTGTCCGTGGCCGAGAGCACCCACTTGAGAGCCGCCAGGGAGTCCTCGTACGCGGCGGGGAGCATGTGCTCCGGCGCGAGGCGGTAGTCGACGGATACGGCCACGGCGGGGCTGGCGGCGACGAGGTCGTTGACGAAGCGGTGGTACACGCAGGAGCCCGCCGACCCCATCACGAAACCGCCGCCGTGGAAGTAGACGACCACGGGGAGCTTGGTGGCCGCCTTCTTCTTCTTACCGTCGTCGTCGCCTGAGCTGGTGGCTTCGGCCGGGAGGTACAGCCGCACGAAAGTGGAGGGAGAGAGGGGCACGTCCTTGGACTCGACACCTGTGGCGGCGTCGTGACCGGGCAGGTCGAACGGCATGATGAGGGGCCGCTCGAGGCGGCCGCTCTTGTAAACCAGGAGGAGCGGGGAGAAGTCGTGGACGACCTCGTTGTCGCCGTTGGTTCCCGTGGCGCCCGGCATTGTGTGTGCAAGGGTAACAACTCGCCGGAGTGTCTGCTGGTTTGTTTCCTGGCTCCAGACTTTCTCCAGTGACCGCTACGTACTTGTAAGCTGAGAAGAGAGATATGGGCGCCTTTCATGGCGACGCATGTGCTGGGTGGGCGGGGGTGCTGTCGTGGGACTGGTGAGCCACGAATGTCCTCAATTCGTCGGTTCCACGCCGTGTTTAGTTCAAAAAGATTTGTCAAAAAGTGCTACAGTATTTATCACATCGAATCTTGCGATATGTGTATGGAGCATTAAATGTAGACGAAAAAAAACTAATTACACAGTTTGATGGGAAATTGTGAGATGAACGTTTTGAGCCTAATTAATTCATGATTGAACACTAATTGCCAAATAAAAACGAAAAGTGCTACGATAGCCCATATTCCAAACTTCAGCCAACTATACACGGGCCCATTTCCATGTCAGGATGCTGACCGAAAAAAAAAATACATGGACGATACCGTACTGGAATCTTGGTACAATTCCCAGTGGTCCACGGTTAGTTCCAAAATTAAATTCTCAAAAAGTGCTACAGTAGCCATCACATCGAATCTTACGATATGTGCATGGAGCATTAAATGTAGACGAAAAAAACTAATTGCACAGTTTGGTTGGAAATCGCGAGACGAACGTTTTGAGCCTAATTAGTCCATAATTGAATATTAATTGCCAAATAAAAACGAAAGTACTGCCATAGCCAAATTCCCAAATTTCACCAACTAAGTGCCTGTTTAGTTCCCAAAATTTTGCAAAATTTTTTAAGATTCTCCGTCACATCGAATCTTTGAACGCATTCATGAAGCATTAAATATAAATAAAAAATAAAACTAAATACACAGTTTAAACAAAATTCACGAGATGAATCTTTTAAATCTAATTAGACTATAATTAGACATTAATTGTCAAATAACAACGAGAAAGTGCTATAGTAACATTTCCGAACAAATTTCCACAACTAAACAATGACTAAATACTAACCTCTGGCTGCTCGTAAATTCGTATGCATGTGATGTGATGTCACTGTCACCAGTGCTGTGAACTCTGTGATATGGTACGTGTGACGTAGTACCTCTGGTAACATGCACACATTAAACCGTCTTTTATTTTTTTCCCGTTCTATCGTACGTACGTGCATTTTTATCCTATCCGCGTACGTACGTATACCACGCTAATACACTACTACACGATGTCCACCACGTACACCACCACTAACGCGTCATCCTCGTCATTCCGTACTGACAAACGCCGCGATCCTGTCCAGCAGCTCCCTGGCCTTCTCCTGCGCGGGCTCCAGCAGGTAGAACACATGCCCGACTCCTTGGGACTCGAACAGCTCCACGTCCTTTCTGGCGCCGCCCGGCGCCGCCGCCTCCGCGTACAGCTTCCCGCGCCACCGAAGGACGTCTCCAGCCCTGGCGCGCCGGGCGCCGTAGGGTTCATCTGGGGGTCGTCCACGCCGTCCACCGCGCCGGGGCACACGAACTCCCACAGGCCCTTCTGCTGCTGCTGATTCGACTTCGAGGCCGGGCTCCGCGGCTCCCCGCCGATGGGGTCCTTGCCCCAGAACCAGGGGTGGATGAGCACGACGCCCTTCAGGCCCGCGCCCTTGACGTCCGGGTGCATGGCGAGGTGGTGGCAGATGTTGCCTCCCGCGCTGTCGCCGGCGAGGAACACGCGCGCGGGGTCGCCGTGCGCCGCGAGCCACGGGTCGGCGTCGGCCTCGGCCGCCGCGGACGACGACGACGACGACAGCGCCCACTTGAGGGCCGCGAGGGAGGCCTCGTACGAGGCGGGGACCGGGTGCTCCGGCGCGAGGCGGTAGTCCACGGAGACGGCCACGGCCGGGCAGGCGGCGGCGAGGTCGTTCAGGCACCGGTGGTACGCGGCCGACCCGGCCGATCCGATCACGAAGCCGCCGCCGTGGAAGTAGACCACCACGGGGAGCTTCCTCTCGGCCGTAGCAGCGGCGGGCGGGAGGTACAGGCGCATGAACGAGTGCGGCGAGAGGGCCACGTCCTTGGACACGACGCCCGTGGCGGCGTCGCGGCGGGGCGGGACCCGTGGCGTCGCGAGTGGCCGCTCGAGGCGGCTGCTCTTGTATACCAGGAGGAGCGGGGCGAAGTCGTGCACGACCTCGTCGTCCTCCCCTGCAGCGGCCGTCGTGGCGCTCGACATTGTGTGTTACCCCGGCTGTGCGCGTCCGGTGCGGCGCGATCGTGAGCATGCGTCGTCTGTTCCGCTATTTGTAGCGACTCGCTGGCGAGGGCTACGAGTTGCGTGACGGCACGCGTTGACTGGCTCCCTGCGGTTGGGTGTTGGCGCGCAGGTGGGTGAGTCACACGAATGCTGTCAGTTTGCCAGGGCCGGTAGATCATGCGTTTTAGTGTTGTTCTTCGGTGGTTTCCTTGTGCGCCGCGCGGGATGGATGATGGATCGGAGATGCCCTCCACGGCTCAAATACGCCCTACCGGATACTTGCCTGGCTCAGTTGAAGCTTTTATGGGAACTAAATAAATGCCCTTACGTTGCACGAGAACTATTTTTTTTCTTCTAGAAATGCTATACAACACACGTGTATTTTAGTATTAAAAAAACACATAGATTTTAGTCCACCGGATCATTGCCCTTGGTTATCCATGTCCGTCAGATCTGCAGGGGCCACCGGCCGAGGACCTGCCTGCCTGAGGCCACCGGCCGCGCGCGGCGCCAGACGGCCGGCCGGGCAGGCGAGGCGATTACAGCATGCCAAAGCAGGATCTGCAGGGGCTGCGCGAGAATTGATTGCCCCAAGGATACTACTAATACAGAAATCTAATCCGCCCCGTCGTCCTTGCCATTGCCTGGCCGCCTGGGCTCTGGGCTGCAAGCTGCATCTGCATGCATGTACGCCTACGAGAGCTCGTAGCCCTGCGTCGATGCCACGGCGTGCCCTGCGGCCCATCAGCTAGCACACACCACCTAGGCAATGGAAGCAACCCCTCTGTATTTTGTCCTTCCATAGAAAAAAAATTATTTTATGTGATATGTGATTTATGATTTGTGATATATAGATCTGTAATCTTGTGATTGTCTCAAGGTAGAAGAAGGCTAGAGGTAGAAAAAGTATGGAGGCTGTTGGATCTTAATATTATGATGAAAAAAATTCATGTGTTGGAATCGTATAAAACATATGGTTGTACAGTAGACACACTCTTTTTTCTGTTGATTACCTTTATTGAACAATGAGCACGGTGGACTGCAGAAGCGCTTATAGATGGCCATTCAGCCGCCCCCGCCCCTACCAGAGGTCATCGGGTAAGACGGACGGCCCATTAGTGCATCGGGTCGTGTCGTCGCGGCCGCCCACGGCAACACCGACGGCCCAAGCACGGCCCTAAAGGTCTCTGGTCAGGGTCAGGTCATGCGACCGATGGCCTGACCGCCTGATGGTGTGCCGTGCCAGCCCCAAGGTCCGACACCCCCTGACTAAAAAAAAAGGTCACCGTAATTTTTCACAGATTACAAGTAAACAGTGTTTCAACAAGTTCTCGCCACACCTTTCAACAAGTTCTCAGTTATCTTTCAACAAGTAAACATCTTTCACAGATCACAAGTAACATGAATGTAAACATAAATAACTGATATATTAGCTGCTTAGTGCAATGGCTGCCTCATTAAAAACCTTTCTGGGTAAAAACTCACACCTCATGAGAAAACCCCAAAAAGGAAAAGAGTACACCCCACAACTTTAATAAGTGTTCATAAGTTCATTAAGTCTTACGGTCGTCCAGAAAGGAAAGAAAAAGAGTACAAGCCTCACAGCCACAAAGATTACACATTCTCATCATCAAGATACAAGTTCTCAAATGCCTCCACTAGCTCCACATTCTCCATGGTATGTTGAGTCTTTGTATCCGCTTGCTCCTGGGCCTCCTTCACCAACGACAAAGATCGCCACTGTTCCTCGATGATCCCGCCAAGTTAGACTAAATGCAGATTCAAGATATAGTAGAAACAGTACACCAAAACATCTCTCTGCTAAGATGGAAAGAACAGGATATGACCGCTTGTGCTCATGCCACCAGCTTGAGGATATTCAAGTCGTCGTTATATTGGTTGATAAAGTCACACCGCCAAGGTATGCACCAACTCGAAGCATTCAAGTTAGCACTGTAGTATGTCACTGCAGAAAAGAAAGCACATGCCGATGGCCTCCTAGTGGATGAAGATGCACCACCACCAAGTCCAGAGGTAGACTAGCACCAAAGACCAAGTCCAAAGAAGCAGCTAGATCGGCACCAAGATTAAGTCCACCAAATAAGCCGGCACCAAAGACCAAGTCCACCACCTAGAGTGCCACCAAAATTTTTTCCCCAAGCAGCTCTTTCTCTTCCTCAAGCAGGCTCGAACTGTGGCCCTTTGCAATCTCACAAAGACCAAACTTGTCATCATACTTAGCAAAAGTATCGAGATAGGTTAGCCCTAACAAAGGGTTAAATATTCAGAATAGTTCTCATCAGTTAGGTTAGATATAATTTGGAGAACATTGGTGAATCCTCTTATCTTGGCTCTAGGATCCAAGATAAAAGCAAAGGAATAAAGCATTGGAATTGTAGACCAAGAGTCCTCAAACTTCTCTTTCATCGGGCACCCAACATTTCTCGTGTCCCCGCTCTTTCATAAGTAGTATTTAAATGTCCAAAGAATCTCAAGAACATGATGCATAATTAGTGGAGATGTTGGATAATAAACACCATAACACACAACAAAGAGAATCATAAAAAGCTGCTCAAGGAATAGGAGAAGTTTTTCAAATGACTTTCCAAATATTCTCTTTTACAATGGTCGCCATCAACCAAAGGATGGTTTACAAAGATCCACACCGGTAAAGGGGCCTGTGGTCCTATCGATGCTTTAGCATTAGATAGGTTGCATTCCATCTAACATCCATGTCCAAGCCAAACTTACGAGGGCGGACACCTTTAGCAATGTAGAAATTTTTGTATGATGCAATGCGCAGATTAGAGGAATTCATGAATGAAATTGCAGTTCTAAAAGCATGCAGCATGGGCTTGAAGACTTCTAGCCTAGCTTTAACAATTAAGTTAATGATATGACAAGCACAAATACCGATGCAAAAATAGTTCACCAACATAACCGCACAATGCAGAGCAAGAATCTCCATTGCTTTAGTGTTTGCGTAAGCATTGTCTAATGTAATGGAGAAAACCTTATCGCTTAAGCCATATTCATCAATACAAGTAAGCACACGCTTAGCAATGTTCCCATGATTGTGTGACATATCAATCAACCTTACACCCAAAATCCTCTTCTCTAATTGCCAGTCAGAGTTAACATAGTGAGCAACAATACTTAAGTAGTCTTCTTTAGCATTACTAGACCATATATCAGATGTCAAAGCAACAGAACTAAAAGACTTCAAAGATTCAAGGAGTTTGCTACGACGTTCATTAAAGTACTTAACAAAGTCTCTGGTGGTGGTTTACTGAGAGACAGGAACAAACCTAGGGTTATGAGCAAGTTTAATGTACTCCTCAAAAGCAGCAGATTCACCAAAACAAACTGGAAGATCCTCTCTAGTAATCAACCTGCACAACTGTGTTCTAGCAACCTCAGGGCTGTATTTCCAATGATGGACAGAACCATCAGGATTAAACCTAAGCAGGGATTGAGTCATGGCATTACTGCCAAGCTTTCTCGATTTGCATGATTTGATATGCCTAATCAAATGACCAGTACTAGCACTAGAACGAGCAGTCAAAGTTTTTTGCAGTAATTACACTTAGCATTGACTCTAACTTGAGATCCATTGCGGAGCTCAAACAACTCCTCAAAATCCTCCCATACCTCAGACCTAATGCGTTTGTTGCTGGGGCTAGAGCCGGACGGTGCAGCTCCAGGAGCAGCGTCGTGCTTAGACTGCGGCGCCACCACCGGTGGCTCGTCTATGCCAACCTCGATCGGAGTGGCTGCAGTGCCGAACAGCTCCGCACGCCCGTCCTCCAAGTCATCTTCATCATCACCTCGAAGCCCCATCATCCTCAACTCATAATTGGTGGAGGTGGGATCGTCGCCATCGGCCATCGCGGGCACTCCAGTCCCTCAACGATGGCTACCGCAGCTGAGCAAGAAGCCTGTGACCTGCAAAACGATAGAAGTTAGAACAAGCTACACAAAGTTAGGGTTAGGGTTAGGAGTGTGGCTTACCTGCTCAACCAGAGCACAGAAGTTGCCGTTGAAGATCGAGATCCACAGATCTACGAGAAGAGGATGGAGAGACTAGGGTTTGGGGGACGGATCTGATGAAGAGAAGGACGGTGGAGGGAGCGAGATGGGGAAGAGACGGTCAGAGGGGAGAGAAGAGGCTATAGATGGCCAAAACTGGACCGGATCCGACGAGCGGTGACCGGAGATGAAGACGAAGACGGAGGAAGCAGGAAGGATGCGCGGAGCAGACAAGTGAGAGGAGTCGTTGATGCGGCTTCGATGGCCGCAGTCATAGATCCGGCAAGGAAGCAACCTCAAACGAGCCGAGAGAAGCTCGCCGGCGCCCGGTGATGGTTGGAGGCGAGCGGCAGCGGCGCTCCCTTTCTCCGCTCTAGCGCTAGGCGAGCAAGCGAGGCGGCGGCCGACAGAGTGAAATGAGGATTAGGGTTTGGGATGGAGAGAGCCGGGGGGAGAGGGGCGCTTTATATTGGCTGGTTGCCAAACGGGCCATGGTCGGGCCCCTCGTGCCGACCGTTGTGTCGGGTCGGGCCGAGCCGGTACGACATGGCTAAAGTGAGGCCCAGGCACGGCCCAAGGGTTGGACCGGGCCAGCCTAGGCCCGCCAGCCACCGGGACGTGCCGTGCCTGGGCCGTGGGCCGGGCCAACGGGCCTCGGGCCATATGGCCAAGTATAGAAGCGCTGAGGACAGTGAACTTGACTGTGTCTTTGAGCCATCGGCGGCGAGAGTATCTGGTGTCCAAATTACTCTTTTTTAATATTTATGTGATCTTTTCGTCGGTGTCAGCAAAGATTTCCTGTGTATCAATATGTGGGTGATCTGTTTTGTTTTCGTCAGCAAAGTCCTTGCCGAATTTCTCTGTTTGAATATGTGCATGATCTTTTCCATCGGCCTATAATCAGTCCTTTATATAATTTTGAATGCGAAAGAGTTTGTTCGGCAATTTTT